ATAAATATCGACTCTAATTGAAAATACAAAATATGCAGATTTAGTTGAATCAATCAAAATGATTACAATTCAAAATTAAAATACTATGGATTTAACGCATAGTTTTTGCATCCACCAATTGGAGACCTTGGGTTTTACATCAATAATTGAGTGCCAGACTTAAGAGATGCCAAAGAGCTCATTCTGTTGTACCTTCCACCACGAATTATTTATAAACATTTGAATTGCTCAACCATAGGGGTAGACCATAGGCCTTCATTAGCCAAGCCCAATTAGTTTTTCCCTACTGCCTTTTCACTATAGATTTTTGCCTGACCTGTTTAACTGGTGTGCAACGTATGAGAGGCAAACACATATTATTAATTAGTACATTTCAAAATATCTAATGTGATTGGTTGATCATTTGTCTTAAATGCATATTATTATAAAAAGTTGTAGATAGGACCAAGGTTTTGAATTTTTGGTGCCTTGGCTTCAATCTCTACCATTCTCTGCTTTTGACATCAGCTGTACCATCAACGCCACTACCTTGCCATAATTTCTGATGTTGGGATTTTCTATACGATCATTCTGTAATATGTTTCAAACTTTCCAATCTTTTGTGCTTCAAACTTCTACATCTAGCACTCCAATGTCCTTGATACCTTCTCTCATCTTCCATCTGTTGTTCTATGCATGCATTTTTCACCCCCTCTGCATTCTGATTTGTAAGATTTATCCCTGCGCTTGCATCATATTCTTACTCGCTTTTCCTTCTGTGTTTGTTCTAACTGGTGTAAAATAGTGTCAAACATCAGGATATTTGCTTTAGCACATTATAGTTTTCAAGTTCTGTTTTCTATCACGGTGGTATTTGCGCCTGTGGCTCTGCTAAGCAAGTTTTCTTCTATTTTAATTTTAATTACTAGGTAGATTCTTGGTAAGTACAAAGAGAATGGCGTGCTGCATCCATGTTATGACCATTAATAAAATTAGTTATCATCTGTTAATTAGATTGTAGACTACTTGATGCATAGTTGTAACAGGAGTTTTTTCAAAGGTCATTCAGAGGAGGATATGCCTACTTATCAGCATTTTTATGAGAAGATTCTCTTGAAGTATCAATATTTTTTTTTTTTTAATTTTTTTTTTCTCTTGAAGTATCAATTGAATGTTTGGAAGGTATATATATAATGTGTTCGTGTCTGTGTGTGTTTTGTTATTTCATTTAACAGGTGCAAACCTATGGATGCGGAAGACTGTGAGCCTTTCACTGATGTTTACTGGATAGAGTTTTCACAGGTCAGCAATGCAAGGTGAATAGTTTATATACGTAATTTTTTTTTTTTAATAATAGCTTGTTTGCAAAACTGCTTGCGTGCTATTTTATATAATATTAAACTGCCACATGTGGTAGGGTATGCTGTAAAGGTTGCTTGATAATTGATTGGTAGCCTGATGCTTAAAATAGCTGCTGACTAATGAAGTGAATCTTTTCATTCGGCTCTTCTCAAAAAATTGGAAAGTTGAAGTCACCACATTCTTCTTTCTTGAGATAAATAAAATACAACTAATACAACATATGGACCCAAATCAAGAATCGAGGCTAAACTAAAATGTAGATCGAGCTATGCTAGTTTATGAAAGTCAATTATATTTATTGATTTTAATTGTTTTTACTTAAATTAGGTGGATATTTTCCTTTGAATGATTTTGATTTTCAATTTAATTTAGATGATATGATTAGATTTGAATTTGGATCACTTTTCAATTTAGATTATAACCCTATTATGAAATTAAGAATTATTTGGTCATGTGTAAACCTATTAGTTGTTAATTTAGACTGTAATCTTAAATAATGTATGAAGGATATTTTTTTATTATCATGCGTTTAAGTAATTAATTATTTCTAGATTCTTTTTCTCTCTCTCTTTCCTCTCTCTACCATTGATTCTTTTTCCTAACATGAAATTAAGATTCTCAATCTCTGCTCCCCTTTCTCCTGCTGGTATTTGTCATTCAGATCTCTCTCATGGGTGCCTCTAATATCTCCTTTTCATGATATCTCACATAGGTCGGCAGTTTATAACAATTAAGAGAAATTGAGCATTTTGTCGCCCAGTTTTATTTTTAAACCATGGGAACCTTCTCCTCTCCTTAAACTCTCTTATGTCAAGAGGTAGACGGTATTAAGAGCATAAATCAAGCTCATCCTTCGAGAAGAAAGAAGGAAGGCCACGAATGAGATCTATGCCAATAACATATTCGTTAAATTTTTATCGAAGTACCCTAACGTCATTCAATATCCCTCCCCCATCCACCCCACCCCTCCTTTTCATACCCAATTCCCACCACTAAGCCTCTTGTTCATTCATTGTTAACATACCAAGCAGGTTTACATTAATAAAAAACATGTTTTTTTTTAAACTACAGAAATATAATGGTCCCTTTTTTTAAAACACGCAAATGTGTCAAGTAAAGGTTGTTGAAAAGAGATGGGTAATGACATGAATAAATGTATGGGTAGATTAGGATGAGCTAGTATCATTTTGGGTCCTAGAGATTTTTAGTTTATAAACACTCGTGTTAAGTAGAATCCTAGAGCTTAGGATCTCTCCTTCTACCTCTCCCTAAATATAAATAGTTGTAGACATTCTATATTACCTAAGTTCCTTCTCTCCCCATTATCAGGAGTGTTATGCAAAGTACAATTGCCTTGTTATAAAGGCATTTACTGTTTTCTGTCTTTTCTCTGCATTTGTTTAACTATTCTCGTATGAAATATTATTATGCATTTAATTAAATATTTTATGTGGCCAAACAATCTAAAGCAACTCTCTAATCTTATCTTCCGCAGGAGCTATTCCAACCTTTTTCATATATATTCTCATTTCGTATCCGGCCTTTAAGAGTAAAGCTACTCATCCATCTCAACATCCTCATCTCCGCAACACTTAACTTAATATCCAACACCTGACATGCCTTGAATCTCATAATCATAAAGCAAAGCAAACAATTATAGAAGGAATGTAGGACCAAAGACCAATCTACAAGAAAAAACAGTTAAAAAGCCAACAGCATAGATAGATGTTCATCAGCAAGAGAATTCCAAATCCGTTACAGAGGATTGCTCTCAAAATAAAGGAAAATGAAGCATGGAATAAATAGTAATGGAGTCAAAATAGTACAAAGAAGTTTAAGCTGCAACAGTACAAAGAATGGAGCCTCTTTAAGAAATTTTATTGATTTCTCAAAAAATATAACTGCTTCGCTTCCAAGAAATCAAGGAGCCGTAGAATCCTTGAGATAGGCAATAAGATCAGCTCGGTCCTGGGGCTTCTTCAGACCAGGGAAAACCATCTTTGTGCCAGGAATGTACTGCATTAAATTAAAAAAAAAAATTTATAACAGTAACTTGACTGATCATGGCCCATTTTCTTATTTTTTTAGATTATTACTATTCTCTAGATAGTTAACGAGGAAAAGACAAGGACAAGTGTTTGAAGGTTTGGAGTAAGTTAAACAGATGAGTAAGGCATCAGGAAGTGGAGAAAGAAATTATTACGTGCGGCATCCGGACATCAATCTGGACGCGCCACGTCACCTAATACACAGTGTATTGAATAATGTGGCGTGTCCGGATTGGCCTCCGGACATATTTGAACTCTGCACAGAATAATCTCTCCAGGAAGTGTGATGGGTGCATTTGTTGCTGTAACAAGAAACTTCAACTTGTAAAACCAACAGAAAAAAATTTATTTATCTCATGCTGACATATAAGTTAAACATAAAACTATTAATACTTCCCATACTACTAAATTGTCTCAAAAAATTTATTTTAACAACATGAATTTCCTAAATAACTGCTTCAGACACAGATGC